GTATTCTATGGCCTATGTATTTACTTCTGAAGGACATAGACCCGTTGATAGTATATCCAAAAGAAGTTGTGTATGTCATCGTATGTGAGAATTTTACGTAAATATAATTCTTACAGGCATACACCTATTATAATATACTTTAGTATTATCATTACCACATTAGAGGGAGTAAATTTCTCGTTGATGGCTAGAAAATTTAGCTTGAGGTTCCGATTATGGTCATGTTCGATACCTGTAATATTCATTAGTGATCATTAGTCGCTGTGGAGGCCACAATTATTAGTCTAACATTACAAATTTACCATTGGGAAGGGAATGTGGCTGACTAATTAGAAGGACTTTCGTTTGATAAAGATCGGCAACCGTTCTGTGTAAAATTGGACATTACATCCGAAGATAGGGCATTACATACCAAGGTGTGATCCGTCGATCCGGAGCGTTATGATCATATGATCATAACTCTCCGATTGAAGAATAAGGGTCCTTCAAAAATTCTACGTGTTACCAAATATTCATTCATATTCATTTGGTAACACGTAGAATTTTTGAAGGACCCTTATTCTTCAATCGGAGAGTTATGATCATATGATCATAACGCTCCGGATCGACGGAATATTCATTCATATTCATTTGGTAACACGTAGAATTTTTGAAGGACCCTTATTCTTCAATCGGAGAGTTATTATCATATGATCATAACGCTCCGGATCACACCTTCGTATGTAATGTCCTATCTTCGGATGTAATGTCCAATTTTACACAGAACGGTTGCCGATCTTTATCAAACGAAAGTCCTTCTAATTAGTCAGCCACATTCCCTTCCCAATGGTAAATTTGTAATGTTAGACTAATAATTGTGGCCTCCACAGCGACTAATGATCACTAATGAATATTACTAGTTTTTAAAAAAATTTAATTGCTTGATTAATTGATGAGGTTTTCAAAAATGATGGATATAGTTACACCAAACCTATGGTATGTATAAATATTAAGGTCTGAAAAAGGCACAAAATTCATAACACGTAAGAAAAGTAGTAAAGTCGGACTGGGCCGACTATATGATACCATTTATTATATTCAAGATATGCATCCTAACAAACCTCACATTTTTGAAGGACCATTGACATGAAATTGGACTAAATTAAACATGTGATATGTGTCTATATGTGAACCGACTTAACCCTACGACCAATAACCGGGTACATTTGTACCCTGCACCATAGTATGGATGGTTACTAAGTTTGTTTTTCCGTTTATAACTTATCGAAATAATCATTTCCGACCCTATAAAGTATATATTAAGTTGGGGAAAAAGAACTTCATTAATTTTTCGGCAGATGGCTGTACTGATAGATTTCTCGTAAAGTATAGATCAAACAATTTCAGATATATGCTCGTTGGAAGGGTGACATTTCGCAGTAAAAAAATATTTTGCCGTTTTTTGTTTGGACATTCAGTTGCGAGTTACAGGGAAGTGAACAAAGAGAAAATTCAGTACATTTTACATGACAAAGGAGAAAATGCAAGCCAATCGGCTAAAACTGTGAATAGTGTTTATGGTTCCGATACTGTAACAGTCAATTATGTGCAATTTTGGGTTCCGTTCAGGAATTTTTGAATTCCAGGAATTCCGTTCAAGAATTTTTGATGTTAAAGATGCACCTCGCACAGGTAGGCCGGTCGTCGAAAATGTTGATAAAATCGGAGAAATGATGGAAGTTGACAGGCTTGTTAGTAGTCGTAACATCGATTTTTTATGTTAAAGGTGCATCTCGCACAGGTATAAAATCGGAGAAATGATCAAAGTTGACCAGTATGTTAGCAGTCGTAACATCGCCCAGAATCGACAATACAACTGTTTTAAACCATTTACAGTTGACCAGAAACGGCCAGAATTGGTCAAAATGAAAGGTGTCGTGTTCCATCAGGACAACGCTAGGCCACACACATTTACAGTGAATCGCCAGAAACTTCGGGAGCTTGGTTGGGAAGTTTTAATGCATACGCTTTACTGTCCGGACTAGGCACGAAGCGAAATATGATATTTCTTCCATTGCAAAATTTCTTTAATGATAAAAAATTGGTATCTAGGGAGGATTGTGAAAATCGACTAGTACAGTTTTTTGCAATTAGAGAGCAGGACTTCTATGAGAGAGGAATTATGAAGTTACCTTTAAAATTGCAACAAATCATACAACAAAACGGTGCATATTTGGTCCAAATCGGACATTCCGAAGCATTTTAAATAAAATTATAGAGTAGATATTTTTTTGCCCTTTAGACTCCATTTCGAACTTAATGTTGGGTTTGTAAACATATTACGATATACAATCGATGGATGAAATCTAATACTCCGTTTTTTTCCACATGCAAGTTACAAGTCTTCAAAATAGTGACCAATTGTGGGAAAGGTAACACAAGGAGTGAAATGATGCGTCCCATTTTCGGTACTTCAAATGCTATGTCTGTACCTACTATCGACAGGATATTGTAGGGGAGAGGGGGAACACTTTTTATACCCTTCACCACACTGTGGTACAGGGTATTATGTCTTTGTGCATATGTTTGTAACAGGCAAAAATAATCGAGTTAGACCCATGGTTCCTTTTGAGAATATGCATAGAATCACTTTCTGAGTCGATTTATTCATGTCCGTCTGTCCGTCCGTCCGTCTGTCCATGTAAAATTGTAAACAAAGTACAGGTCGCATTTATGATCCGAATTGGATGAAATTTGGCATAGGTCACTTATTCGGCCCAAGGACGAACCCTATTGAAATTGGGAAAAATCGGTTCAGATTTAGATATAGCTCCCATATATATATTTAACCGATTTAATGTGAACGGTCCCTATATATCTTTCGATTTGCACGAAATTTGGTACAGCCTAATCATTTAGGTCTAGAATGATGTCTGCCAAGTTTCGTGAAAATCGGTCCAGATTTAGATATAGCTCCCATATATAGTTTCGTCCGATTTCATGTAAATGGTGCCCCAAAGTCCCTATATATCCTTCGATTTGCACAAAATTTGACATAACGTACTGAATTAAGCCTAGAGTGATGTCTGCCAAGTTTCGAGAAAATCGGTCCAGATTTAGATATAGCTCCCATATATAATTTCGTCCGATTTCATGTAAATGGTGCCCCAAAGTCCCTATATATCTTTCGATTTGCACGAAATTTAGCATAACGTACGGAATTAAGCCTTGAATGACGTCTGCAAAGTTTCGTGAAAATCGGTCCAGATTAAGATATAGCTCCCATATATAGTTTCGTCCGATTTCATGTAAATGGTGCACCAAAGTCCCTATATATGATTCGATTTGCACGAAATTCGGTACAGCGTAATGAATTAGGCCTATAATGATGTGTGCTGAGTTTCAAGAAAATCGGTTCAGATTTAGATATAGCTCCCACATATAGTTTCGTCCGATTTAATGTAAATGGTGCACCGAAGTCCCTATATATCTTTCGATTTGAACGAAATTTTGCACAGCGTACTGAATTAGGTCTAGAATGATGTGTGTTAAGTTTCTCGAAAATCGGTTCAGATTTAGATATAGCTCCCATATATAGTTTCGTCCGATTTCATGTAATGGTGCCCCAAAGTCCCTATATATATTTTCATTTGCACCAAATTTGGCATAACGTACTGAATTGGGCCTAGAGTGATGTCTGCCAAGTTTCGAGAAAATCGGTCCAGATTTCTGTATAGCTCGCACATATAGAGCTCACATATTTTAAGTAATTGACGCACCAAGACACCAATAGGAGCAAAACGTTCTGAAATTAGTATAACCTAACCTATGACAAGTTTGCTTGAAATCGCTTAATATTTGGATGGAGCTTCCATATATATTTTCGCATCAAACTCCTCATGTTAGTCAGATTCACATCAAATTTTGCACAACGTACAAAATTGAGCATAGAATTACGTAGTTGCGTTTTCAAGAAGTACAGACATAGCCCAACGTATGACCTATTTATATTTGTTTGAAGTCGATTTACATACTTTGTCGATATATCTAGGTAGATTCACATTAAGATAAATATCACATATATTATTTCATCCAATTTCATGTTAATAGTCCTGTTTAATATACCCATAGTGGTGAAGGGTATCATATAGTCGGCCCCGTCCGACTTTACTACTTTCCTTACTTGTTGCTTTTGATAATAATATGTGCAAAGTTTAAGTGAAATTTTATTTTCTGTTCGCTTCATATTAATTGTAACATTTTTTAAAATATTGACCCTTTGGTGGGTAGGTACTTGAAGAACTGGACCGATAAACGCCATCTTCAAGCATTATGCCAGAGTTTTTAAAATATTATGTTGTTCAAAGTATGCTTCAAATTCGATACGCCGTTCGCATTATATTATTGATGATATTTTGATGAGCACATTTTTGTCATTAGCCATAAGGCTTAGGATAAAAAAGAAATTTGTATGTATGCTTGGAATCATTTTAAAATTGCAGTATAATTAAAAAAATTCATGTCTAACGTATTTTTAATAGACTCATCAATGTCTTCTTAATTTTTTTCACCAAATGTAATCAATCGAACGACTGGCAGATATATAGAATGTATCACTCCATATTCTTAGTTAAAAATTCCGATTATCATTTTCCAAGAAATTTGTGTTTCAAAATTCTTATTCAACTTCCATTCATAGCTCATCTAAGGTTATTGATGTTTCAATTTCATGTGAAATTCAATTTCGAATTTATGCACATACATTCATTTGAATGTTCAATTCCAATATCCATGTTCATATGTAAGCCTACGATATTTCCAAGAATGTGTTGGAAATCCTATAATGTAAAAGGATTAATTATACAGTCCGGAAGGTTATGTGTTAGTAATGGATATTTTAAATATATATTAGGGTCTAACGGAACAACTTTTTATTTTTTTTTTTGAAAAATTTCTTTAAAAATTCGTTTTAAATTTTAGATTTCGAAAATACAATTTTTTCCATTTTTTCTCTCATTTCTCTACTTACCACAATTTGGTTTGCCTCGTGTACGGGTATTGGCAAATTCGACACCATGCTTATCCACACACCAGCAAACACCAACAGAGTTATGGCATTGGGTTGGCTTATAGAAACCCTGGACATCACAATCCGGTGCATATGCTCCTGTTCGATGTTGTGACATGTACATACACACACAAGCACACACCATGTATATACATATGGAGGCGATAAAAGGAAAAATAAATAGAAAAAAATCAAAAAAATTTAAAAATTTTCAGTCATTCATTCATCATTCGGAGTACAAACGAAAGCCATTATGTGCAATTAACAAAATCCGTAAATGAATTAAAAAAGGTTTTACAATAAGGAATTACATTGTTCAATATATATAAAAAAAATTAATTTGTTTTTGTTGGGCAAGGGGATAGTCAAACGAACAGACAGAGAGAGATATAGAGAGGAATTAGATAGAGATAGGTAGGTAGATTGGTTGGTTGGTAGGTTTGTCAAAGCAAAAGCAGAATTACGAAAAAATTTGATACATAATAACACTGTATATAAATATATGTTTGTGTTGTGTGTATTTTTAATAAATAATTAAAATATAGGCTATTAGTGTTGTTGTTGTTTTAATATTTTGAATATGAAATTTGTCAAAAGTAGCAAAAATTCGAAAATCATAAATTGTTAATAAAATATGCCAACAATGTTTAATTTATAATTAATATATAAAAGGGGGAGGAGTAGCAGGAAAATTACTTCATCGAGTAAATAAAGATATACTTATATTTTTATTAGGCTGGGACTAGTTTTAAAAAAGGAAAGGTGTTTTTAGGTGATATATTGGGTGTAAAATGTGAATTCATTACAAATTCACATACTAATTAAAGTGTTATAAAAATTTGTATGTGTGTTGTATATATTGGCTAGCTAGTTAAATGTTGAGTTTTAAATTCAAACATATTTGAGTATTTTCGTTCTAATATATATTTAAAGCTAAATTCAAAATTTAAAAAATTAAAGGTTCTCTATTAAAGACTTTTTCTATAAATGTCATATTTTTGGAACAAACTAGTAATATTTAGATTGAAATTTTATAGTTATGAAGAAACACCACTAAAATCAGTAATAATTTATACGTAATTGTAACCACAGCACCACTCTGTGTACCACCACTCTGTGGTACAGGGTATTATGTCTTTGTGCATATGTTTGTAACAGGCAAAAGGAAACGAGATAGACACATGGTTCCTATTGAGAATATGCATAGAATCACTTTTTTAAGACGATCTATGCATGTCCGTCTGTCTCTCTATCTGTCCATGTTAAATTATGAACAAAGTACAGATCGCATTTATTCCTTTTGCATTTATGATCCGAATTGGATGAAATTTGACACAGCTAATTTGTTTAGCCCAAGGACAAACCCTATTGAAATTGGGAAAAATCGGTTCAGATTTAGATATAGCTTCTATATATATTTTCGTCCGATTTTATGTAAATGGTGTACCAAAGTCCCTAGATATCTTTCGATTTGCACGAACTATGGCATGGCGTAATGAATTAGTTCTAGAATAATGTGTGTTAAGTTTCTTGATAATCGGTCCAAATTTAAATATATCCCCCAAATATATTTTCGTCCGATTTTATGTAAATGGTGTACCAAAGCCTCGATATTTCTTTCGATTTGCATGAAATTTAGCAATGCGTACTCAACTGAGTCTGGAATGATGTGTTTTAAATTTCGTAAAAATCGGTTCAGATTTAGATATAGCTCCCATATGTATTTTCGTCCGATTTAATGTGAATGGTCCACCAAAGTCCCGATTTGCTCGAAATTTGGCACAGCGTAATGAATTAGATCTAGAATGATGTGTTTTAAGTTTCCTGAAAATCGGTTCAGATTTAGATATAGCTCCTATGTATATATTCGTCCGATTTAATGTAAATGGTGCACCAAAGTCCCAATATATCTTTCGATTTGCACAAAATTTGGCATAGCATAATGAATTGAGCCTAGAATGATGTGTGTTAAGTTTCTTGAAAATCGGTTCAGATTTAGATATAGCTCCCATATATAGTTTCGTCTGATTTAATGTAAATGCTATACCAAAGTCCGTATGTATCCTTCGATTTGCACGAAATTTGGCATAGTGAATTAGCTCTAGAATGATGTGTGTTAAGTTTCCTGAAAATCGGTCCAGATTTAGATATAGCTCCCATATATATTTTCGTCCGATTTAATGTATATGGTGTACCAAAGTCCCTATATATCTTTCGATTTGCACGAAATTTGGCACAGCGTGCTGAAGTATGTCTAGAATGATGTGTGTTAAGTTTCGTGAAAATCGGTCCAGATTTAGATATAGCACCCATATATATTTTCGTCCGATTTAATGTAAATGGTGTCGTCACACGTACTGGAGTTAGAATAACCTTGAAGTTGGTATTAAATGCTTTACCATGGTGGGTCCAATTGGCACAAAATTTTGCTATACGTACTGAAGTTACTATAACATAATTGTGACAAGTTTAGTTCAAATTGGATTAGATTTTCATATATATATATATATATATATATGATTATAATTGATTGTCATAACTTTGTCCCTGGTCCTTTAAAAATTCGACGTCTTTTAGGTTTCATCTGTTGGATATACCGAAAGTGGTGAAGGGTTCGGCTCCGTCCGACTTCACTACTTTCCTTATTGTTTTTTTAATTTGTTTTTAATTAAAACTAAGTTCAAATTTTAAACAACACCACATGTTTCAGTATTAAAGTTTATTTTTATATATATGACAAATCAGTTTCCCCTTCGAGAATTGTATTGAGATCTCTAAATCGACTCAAAATTGTCTGAAAATATTGTGGTCCATAGGAATTTGAGATATAAAACCGATATTTCCAACATACCCTTGTTAATAAAAGGCTAAGCGAATATCGATTTTAAGTGGGGCTTGCGAATTTATAAACTACTCTGTTCCTGGCCTGGTAGTCTTTTAGAATAATATATTTTGGAACCAGTGAGCGGAGCAGTATAGTCGGACGGGGCCGACCATATGATACCCTACACAACTTCCACGAAAATCGAACTTTCCGTGATACTACATTCTGAGATTGGGCAATATTTCGCGATATTTGCACCCTCTTGATCGACTAGAGGCCAACAAATATTAATAATATTCAGTACATCTCTTCTACTTACTTGCCCCGATTGCTTTCACCAGGTGTTGTGTTGTGATGTTCGGCTTTCAATTATGGCCTATAGATCAATTCGAAAAAACACAAAAAAATAAGTTTTCGGTCCACTTCATCCCAAAATTATTATCTGATCATCACCGAATATTATAGGCGTTGTACTTGCCCATAACTGGAACCTCATGGAAATATTCAAAGCGATCAGCGCTATATTTCCGCCCTATAGTGTGGTAATGGGTTACTAAATAATATATTAATACGTAAGCACCTGTAAATATTTACGTGTAACTCCCACATCCAGGTACATACGACAATATAATTGGTATCAATTTAAAGGCCAACCACACCTCTTGGATATATTATCAACTTCTCGGCTCTATGTCCTTCAGGAGTAAATATATACGCTATAGAATACAAATTTTATCATTTTTCACACAAAAGTCAGGGTGAATTTGACCCGCTAAATATTGACCGATCTTTATCAAAACGGGCATGGTTATTCTCTGGCCCGATCCCTTTCTCAATGCAAAAATTCGCGGTGTTTGGGCCATAACTGCGGCCTCTGGAGCGACCAGAAAATCAGACAAAAATAAAGTTTTTGGTCCATTTCGCCCCCTTAATATTAACTGATCTTTCCATTGGCCAGAACCCATTCTACATGCAAAATTTCGTGAAGATTGGTCCATAACTGTGGCCTGTATCGTGTTTACAAATTATAATGGACAGACGGACGGACGGACAACATGTCTAGATCGACTCAGCTAGTCGGGATATGACGATCGGTATACTTAAAGGTAGGTCTAGGACCAATATTTCGCGGTGTTACAAACTTTTGGGGCTGCACAAAGCTATAATACCCTGACAACATAGTTGTGTAGGGTATAATTATATTCTTTAATTATAGTTTTCAATTCGCTTTTCTATTGAAATGCTTGCAAATAGTTCTCCTACTCACTGAAGCCAATACTCGTGTTCGGGATGTTCGTACAATATCCATAGACATAACATATTTGGAGGACCATTGAAATGGAATCGAACGAAATTAACTGTGTGTAGTGCATAGATATTTGAACTAAATTATAACAACCCATACACATAGCAATGTAAAGCTTACGAATGATTGAATAGGAGAGCTATATATAAACCGACCTAGCTATATCTGGAAGCTATATCTGAACCTGAAACGACTTCAATCCAATAAGCTATGCAATATTTCATGTAAAGCGAACAGACAAAGACTACCCGATGTGCACCAATTGCTTAAAATCGAACAAAAATATATATGAGGGAGCTAATGGAACAGGATCTATGGTGCACCATTTAAATAAAATGGGATTAAAGTATATATGTATGCTATATTAAAATCTGCACCGATTTCAAAATTAACAAAAAGCATTCTAGACTAAATTCCATACACGTTGCTAAATTTCGTGAATATAGAAAAAACATAGACTAATCAGTGCGCCAATTACATAAAATCGGATGAAAGTATGTATTGGATTATACATCAATCTGAATATAATTCAGTAAGCTGTTCAACATTTTGTCTCAATCGCACAAATATTGGCAGTATGGACAAATATATGGCAGCAATATCTAAATTTGAACCGATTTCAACAAAATTTCGCAAATGTCAAATTGCAGTAATTTCAATACGCTATGCAAACGTTGGTCCCAATAGGACAAATATTGCGAGTTTGGTGCACCATTCACATAAAATCGGACGAAACTATATGTGGGAGCTATATCTACATCTGAACCGATTTTAACAAAACTTCGCAGACATCAGTCTGGACATACTTCAGTACTCTGTGCAAAATTTTATCCCAATCGGACAAATATTGGGAGTTTGGTGCATCATTCACATAAAATCGGAAGAAAACTATATGAGAGCTATATTTAAATCTGAACCGATGGTGCATCATTTAGAATCACTCTAGCGGCTAAACGATCAAGTTCGAAGATGGACTATATCGGTCCACGTTTAGGCATAGCTCCCATATAAGGGTACCCTCAAATTTTCGGTATTTTGAGGTTCTTGAGCGTGTTTTTCAACCGAATTCGCTGAAATTTGGTACTTTGAGTTCTTATTGGGTAGCAAATCTCTCCACAAAAAAATTATAAATATCGGTTTTGATCATATTTTCCGCCGAATTAGTTGTAATTTAGTATTTTGAGTTCTTAATAGGTACCAAATCTCCCCACAAAAATTATGAATATAGGTCAATTTTTCGGATAGCCCCCATATAAGGGTACTCCCAATTTTCGGTATTTTGGGATTCTCGAGCGCGTTTTAACCGAATTTTCTGCAATTTGGTATTTTGTAGTCGTATATGGTAACAAATCTCCCTACCAAAAATTAATAATATTTGCCCCCCTTTTTGGGGTAGTCCTCATATAAAATTCATTTTTCCTGCGGAGGATAGCGAGATAAAAAATTATAACGTAAGGTTCGATAATGAACTATAGCCGCATTTAGACCTAGTCCCTGTGTGGAGGTTCCAGAAGGAGTGGACCGATATTCCCCATCTTTGAATTTGAACTAAGTTTGGAAGAAATAATAAGATGGGCAATGTTTGAATGAAATCTAAATTTTCCGAAACAGATTTGGTCCAAGGGGTCTAGAACCAATATTTCGATGGGGCACATTTTCACCTTGTTAAATGGTAAACACCCTCATTAGCCATAAGGCTGAAGGTATAATCCATTAAAAATTTCTGAAATTTGTATTATGGTTTCCATAATCCCTTTTTAGAAATGTAGGTATAGGTCCACTTTTAAGTAAGTTCCCTATGTTTTTATTTCAAGTACCTATCAGTATATCAATGGTGGAGGGTATCCAAAGTTCGGCCTGGCCGAACTTAACGCTTTTTTACTGGTTTATTATACCCTTCACCACACTGTGGTACAGGGTATTATGGCTTTGTGCATATGTTTGTAACAGGCAAAAATAATCGAGATAGACCCATGGTGTCCGTCCGTCTGTCCGTCTGTCCATGTTAAATTGTAAACAAAGTACAGGTCGCATTTATGATCCGAATTGGATGAAATTTGGCACAGCTCATTTGTTTGGCCCAAGGACGAACCCTATTGAAATTGGGAAAAATCGGTCCAGATTTAGATATAGCTCCCATATATATTTTCGTCCGATTTAAGGTAAATGAGGTACCAAAGTCCCTAAATATCTTTCGATTTGCACGAAATTTCGTACAGCCTACTGAATTAGGTCTAGAATGATGTGTGCCAAGTTTCGTGAAAATCGGTTAAGATTTAGATATAGTTCCCATATATAGTTTCGCCCGATTTTAGTTAATGGTGCCCCAAAGTCCCTGAAAATCATTTGATTTACACGAATTTTGGCATAGCGTATTGTATTAAGTCTAGAATGACGCGTGCTAAGTTTCGTGAAAATCGGTTCAGATTTAGATATAGCTCCCATATATAGTTTCACCCGATTTAAGGTAAATGGTGTACCAAAGTCCCTATATAGCTTTCGATTTGCACGAAATTTGAATAACGTCTAGAATGATGTGTGCTAAATTTCGTGAAAATCGGTTCAGATTTATATATAGCTCCCATATATATTTTCGTCCGATTTAAGGTAAATGGGGTACCAAAGTCCCTATATATTTTTCGATTCGCCAGAAATTTGGTATAGCCTACTGAATTAGGTCTAGAATGATGTGTGCTAAGTTTCGTGAAAATCGATTCAGATTTAGATATAGCTCCCATATATATTTTCGTCCGATTTCAGGTAAATGGTATACTAAAGTCCCTATATGTCCTTCGATTTGCACGCAATTTGGAATTGCGTACTGGATTGAGTCTACAATGATGTGTGTAAAATTTCTTGAAAATCGGTTCAGATTTATATATAGCTCCCATATATATTTTCGTCCGATTTAAGGTAAATGGGGTACCAAAGTCCCTGAAAATCATTCGCTCTGCACGAATTTTGGCATAGCGTACTGAATTAAGTCTAGAATAACGTGTGCTAAGTTTCGTGAAAATCGGTTTAGATTCAGATATAGCTCCCATATATAGTTTCGCCCGATTTAAGGTAAATGGTGTGCCAAAGTCCCTACATATCTTCCGATTAGCACGAAATTTGGTATAGCGTACTGGAATGAGTCTAGAATGATATGAGTAAGATTTCTTGAAAATTGGTTCAGATTTAGATATAGCTCCCATATATAGTTTCGACCGATTTTAGGTAAATGGTACGCCAATCTCCATATATGTCTTTCGATTTGCACCATCGATGGTGCACCGAACTCCTCATGTTTGTAATATTGACATGAAATTTTGCACAACGTACAACTTTGAGCATTTTGATGTTTGCTTTGAATCGATTTACATAATGTTGTCCCATTGTAACAATCGATTGGCATGTTTATCGATTGATCTAAGTCGGTTCACATTTAGATAAACGTCACATATTTTAGTTCATCCAATTTCATGTTAATGGCCCTTCTGTTAGGATGCATTCGTTTAATATACCCATAGTGGTGAAGGGTATCATATAGTCGGCCCCGTCCGACTTTACTACTTTCCTTACTGGTTTTATCTTGTAGATATGTTGCGATTTTTATAATAAAATCGAAGGTTTTTCATTGCAAATTATCCGATGCTGATACGCTCTTGTGTTAAAAATATTTTCCATGCACATTTGACGTAATTTGACAGTTTGATTTTTCTTGAGTTATAAAATATTATAGGGTGGACTATAATATTTCTTATTTATATTATCTGAAATAAGGATTTTCTATAGTAGGACTATGAATAAATACTATAAGATACAAGGGACAACAAGAAATCTGTCTACCGCAAAACTTCACATTATGGTAGTACATATTGGATCCTATATATATACAGTAACCAACAATGGACTTAAAATATATAAACTAAGGGGGGTTGAGGGGCAATACTATGAAATATATAATGAACAACAAGAAAACGTTATCCTATATTAGAACATCACTAATAAAATATCATCACAATTGTATGCAACAACATTCTATATATCTACTTCTTCTATAAATATTGTTGAAAATATATTATACAGTGGAACTTCAATAACACACAATGACAAGGGATAATTTTTAAAATTAGTTATTAAACTGTTGAGAGACCAACAGCTTTATATAATTTACAGAAGGTATTTCATTTATACATATTCGGAATTCCACAGTTATAAGAATTACTGTATTTTTTCAAAATTTTATTTTGAATAGGCATATTCAAAATAACCCTGTTGCACTGTATTCAATATCTAAATGCCTGCTGAATGATTTTGCCTGAAGAATCCTAATAAATTTAAAATAACAGCATGTTTTTGTAGAATTCCAAACGAAAGAATTCGAGTGACTTACGACCAAACCTTTATTTATGTTTATAGATGTTTTCTGATTCAAATCAAAAATAAATGACATATTTTTCAAAACCAAGGAGTTTGGTCGTAAGTCACTCGAATTCGTTCGTTTGGAATTTTACAAAAACAGGCTGTAAGTATCAATGAAATCGCATATATGTGAGTATGTTTGTAAAAGAAAACTAAAAATAAATCTTCCACTTTCTGAGTTTTTTTTTTAATTTCTTCCATCTTTATGTTTGTTGTTGCTTGTTCTTTGTTTTGTTTTCATTGTATCTTGTTGTTTTTTGTTTATTTTTTTGTTTCAGTAAAAAAGTTTAAATAAAAGAAAACAAAGAAGAACGGAAATTAAGATGTCCACCTGTACCTATCTCACCTGCAAAATCGCCAGCGATTCTTCGTCGTACAGCGGCACAAGGACGATCTGTTTTCTCAAAGCAACGACACCATTCGCGGGTATTTATCGAATTGTCCTGATCCAAATCGCAGGTGTCAATAAAAGGTTTAATGCATCGTTCATTTTGATCATGTTCCAGATCGTACATTTCCTGCAGCGACAAATAGCCATCGTTGTTCAAATCCAAATGTCCAAACATCCATTTGGCTTCGGTCTTGCAGGCGGGTGGGAAATGAGCTTTAGATTTTTGACTATGTTGGCGACGTTTCTTGCTATCGGCCATAATCACAGAGAACCAATCGAGTAGGCGATTACCAATGGCGGTCAGTTGTTGAGGTTTGCATTCGGGTGATTTGGAGGGATAACCTGCAGAACGAGAAGAGGAGGAAGTGGAATATCCTTAAAACGGTGTTGTTGGTTTGTTAGGAGCAGGTTGAGATTGGGAGTGAGTTGCGTGAGGAAAATGTTTGGCAAACTTACCATTGTTGATATTGTTGTTCTTTTGATATTTCTGGGGCTTTTCAATCACCTCATTGTAGCCACGGATTTTATGTTTATCCTCTTGATATTGCTGGTTATCCTGAAATCGATAAATTGAGGTTATTAGATAATTTTATTCCAATTTTTTAAAATAATATCACGAATTCGATAAAGAAAACAAATTTAGGAACATTTTTTAGAATTTTTATTAAAAAACTCTTTGAAAATTTTTAAAAAATCATGTAACAATGTTGTATTCGGCCTGGCAGAACGTTTTTTACCCTCTAAAATATATATACTGGCATTTATAAGAATATATTTTTTTGGAACATTTTACTAAAACTTCCGATGTAATGAAAATCGTGATGTACCACAGAAGTGAACCAATTCCTATTACTTGTCTAAAATCTTCAAATGTTCACACTAGTTGGTCCATGACCAATACTGATTATTTTTGCTAAAATGATTTGAACTCAAAATATTTATTTTGACCAATATCACCCCAAAAATACCGAAAATACCGGAGTGTTTCGATATTTATAAGAAGGCTAGAAATGAATATGAACCTATATTGATAAAGATAATTCATTAATTTTAATCGATTCGGTCAAAAACCTTCTAGGAAATCATCAAAATAAAGAACATCGGAAGAATAGGAAAAACCCTATTCTCAGCTTCAGATCAGTCGATAAAGGCCATTCGATATTAAGCTCATCTATGTACATATATACCTGACCTTCATCAAAATAAAGAACATCGGAAGAATAGGAAAAACCCTATTCTCAGTTTTAGATCAGTTGATAAAGACCCTTTGATATTCAGCTCATCTATGTACATATATACCCGACCTGACCTTCAGCTGATTTAAAAAAAAAATTCCCGAGCTTCGGCTTGTCTACAGAGGCTCCCCACCATTCAACTCGCCTATAAATACTCCCTACCCATTGGCTAAAACTGTTTCCCGAGCTCCAGCTTGGTATATTGTCCATCCGATCGTCAGCTCATTTACCCGATCTTCAGCTTTTTTAAAATAAATTAGCGAGCTTTGGCTCGTCTATAGAGATTCCTCGCTATACAGCTCGCCTATAAGAACTCACAGCCCACTAGCTCGCCTATAAATATTGTCTGACCTCTAGCTGTCTTTAAAACATTTCCCGAGCTTCAACTCGTTTTTAGAGGTTTCCCTACCTTCAGCTCAACTATAAATACCGACCAGACCTTCAGCTGGATTAAAATAATTTTCCGAGCTTCAAACTGCCTGACCTTTAGTTTGTTCAAACACATTTTCGAGCTCAAGCTCTTCTATATAAACTCTTCTACCTTCAGCTCACCTACAAAGCCTCCTTTAAGTCTATTAAGACTACACAATCTTCAGCTGGTTTATCACGATAGCCCAAAGATCTGACCTTCAGTTGACTTAAAATCATTTTCCAATCTTCGGCTCGGGACTCCCTGCCATTCAGCTCGCCTATAAAAACTCTCTGACCTTTAGCTCACTTAAAATTGTTTCAGCAGTTCCACCTCGTCTATAAAAACGTTCCGACCTTCAGCTCAACTATTAAGACTACCCGACCAGACTTTTAGCTACTTTAAAATAATTTCCAGAGCTTCGGTTTGTCTATTGAGACTCCTCACCACTTAGATCGCCTATAAATACTCCCTGACCACCAGCTCTACAGTAACTTCCTGACATTTGGTTCAAAAACATTTTCTATAAAGACTCTATTACCTTCAGCTCATCAATAAAGACCGACCTGACCTTCAGCTGGTTTAAAAAGATTTCCTGCAGCTCGATTATAAAGACGCTCTGGCTTTTATCTGGTTTAAAAAAATTCCGGAGTTCCGGCTCGTCTATAGAGGCCCCAGAACTCCAACCCGTATACAAAGAATCCCCGAAAACCTGAACATATAAAAACACTGTCAAACAAAACTCCCAGACCTCCGATTGGTCTATGAATGTATCCTGTCCTTCAGGTCGTTTATAAATACTCACTAACATCCACCTCATCTATAAATGCACCCTGACCTTCAGATTATCTACAAAGACAGCCTGATTTCGCCGTCGGATCCATAAAGGGCCGTTGGGCTTCAGTTTGTCTAAAGCCCAACGGCCGCCCCTTGACTTCACGTTGCCAATACAGAATCGAGTTTGTGTTTAGGGACTCCGGACCATAAGTTCGTCAATAAGGACTCCATAAATACTCACGGGCCTTAAGTTCGTATATAAAGACTCCCCGAAATTTAGCTCGTCTTTTAAGGATTCCCGACCTTGAGCACTTCTCTAAAGGTTGCTGTTCTATTAATATTGCCTAACCTTCAGTTGGTCTATAATGACTGTCCAACCTTCAGTTCGTTCATAAAGACTTTCTAATCCTCAACTCGCCTAGAGAAGTATTCAACTCATATATGAAGATTCCCCGACATTCAGCTCGTCTACCTTCATCTAGAGATGAGACTTTGTCTATAAAAACTTCCTCATCTTGGTATGGTCTATAGAGGCTCTCTGACCTTCCGTATGTCTATGAAGATCCACAGACAGTGTATAAGAAACCCCGGAGAGCGTATAAGAAATCAATAAGGACTTCATAAATACTGCCTTGTTTCTAGCTCATCTATCAGCACTTTCTGGTCTTAGCTTGTCCGAGAGGACTCCCTGGCTATCAATCCGTTTATAATTAATCTAAAGCTTTCAACTTGTCGATAAGAACTCTCTGACCTTCATATAGTCTATAGAGGATATCTTCTTTTCACTACGTCTATAGAGATTCACTGACATTCAGCTAATGACATTTACTTCGTCTATAAGGGATCCCGGACTATCAGCTCGTAGATAAGGACTTCATAAATACTCCCTTGTTTCTAGCTCGTCTATACGGAGTCCATGTCCTTTAGCTCGTCTATTAGGACTTCAGGAACTCCCTTCACCCTTCAGTTGCCCTTCAGCTTTCCCTTGCCTTCAGGTCATCTATAAATGTCTGTTGGGATTCATTTCGCCTGTAAAGACTGCCTGGTTTTAACGTCGCCAATATAGACTCCCTGGAATAGAGGTTGTTTATACGGGCTCCGGACTATCAGTTCGTCGATAAAAACTCCATAAATACTGGCCTTAAGTTCAAAAGTAAAGACTCCCCGAATTTTAGCTCCTCATTAAAGACTCCCTATAAATACTGCACAACCTTTAGCTGGTCTATAATGGCTGCCCAAACTTTAGTTCAACTATCTTCAGTTCGTCTAGAGGAATCTTCAACTTGTATATGAAGATTTCTCGACCTTCAGCTCCCTTCTTGGGCTTCTTTGTAAAGATTCTCTTTTTCTTCAGCTATGAAGACTTCCTGGCCCCATTGTATCCTGTCCGTCTATAAGAACTCCCGAACCATCAGCTCGTCGATATGGACAAACCCATAAATAATATTGGTTTCCAGTTCGTCTATAGGGACTCGTGGATATACAGCTATACGTACTCGGTGTCCTTCAGCTCGTCTATACGTTTGTCCGTAAGGACTCGAACAATGACTCTAAAGCTTTCAACTTGTCGATAAGAACTCCCCGGTCTTCATAGTTACATTATAGTTACACTCTGTTTTTTTTATTATAGTTACATATATTACAATGCAGATCCTGACTATCCTTTAATCCCAATAAAAGTATTTTGAGTTGTTATACCCTTCACAACTATGTTGTCAGGGTATTATAGCTTTGTGCAGCCCCAAAAGTTTGTAACGCCGCGAAATATTGGTCCTAGACCCATCTTTAAGTATACCGATCGTCATGTATCGTCTAGCTGATTCGTCTAGCTGTGTCCATCCGTCCGTCTGTCCATTATAATTTGTAAACACGATACAGGCCACAGTTATGGACCAATCTTCACGAAATTTTGCATGTAGGTTGGTTATTGGCCAATGAAGACACCTATTGTTTTTGGTAAAGATCGGTTAATATGGACCAAATACTTAATTTTTGTCAGTTTTTCTGGTCGCTCAAGAGACCGCAATTATGGTCCGAACATCGCGATTTTACATGGAGAAGGTAATCGGGCTAAAGAATAAGCATGCCTGTTTTGACAAAGATCGGTCAATATTTAGCGGGTCAAATGGACCCTTACTTTTGTGTGAAAATGACAAAAATGAAGGACATAGGCCCGAGAAGTTGATACTATATCCAAGAGGAGTGGTTGACCTTTAAATTGATACCAATTATATAGTCGTACTCGGATGTGGGACTTACACGTAAATATTTGTAGGTGCTTACGTATTCAGATATTATTTAGTAACCCATTACCACATTAGAGGGCGGAAATATAGCGCTGATCGCTTTGAAATTTTCCATGAGGTTCTAGTTATGGAACCTCAGATTATACTTATGGGATGAAGTGGACCGAAAACTTAATTTTTTTGTGTTTTTTCGAGTCGATGCCAATAATAAGCCAAAAATCACAACACAACCCACGGTGAAGGGAATCTGGACAATTAACTAGAAGCACTGTACTGAATATGAGTGATATTCGGAAAATATGTCAGTGTAAGGAAGAGGTGCTGTTGACCTCTAATATCACGAAAGAGAGTTCCGTGGTAGTTGTGTAGGGTATCGTATGGTCGGCCCCGTCCGACTATACTGCTCCGTTCACTGGTTTCCGAATAACTTTTAAATTGCAATTTTCAATTTCTTTGAAAATCATATAACATTTTGCGAGTGGATTTTATTACGTTTCTGAAGAAAAAAAAACGTAATCATACACTATACATATATTGTTTACACCAGCACCCTATATCCCGTTAAATTAAATAATGTATCGCAAAAATGGTACTTACCTTTTTGTAAGCAGTGTACTTGAGATATTTGTAATGTTTGTTGTCGTATTTGATCTCCTCGGGCGTGAAAGTGAATTGCGAATTGATGTGATTGTAATGACGATTGTTATCATCCTTATCCTGTTGGCAGTGGGGTAGTGCGTTAGTGTGTGCAAATTCATTCAAACAGACAGTCAGTTAGTCATTTGTGCAGAGGGCAAACCGGTAGCAGGATAGTTATTTGTGGGGGATATTATTGGGATTGTTTATGATTGTTTTTGTACAAGGCAAAATGGGATGTACAAATGTATTGCCATATACCCCAATTCAAAAACACACACACACCGCACATCATCATCGTCGTTGTTGTGATCATCGCCATCATTCATCCATCCGAATGGCATGTTTGAAAAGCAAATAACATTATATGAATTACACACCAAATATATGGATAGATGTGTGTGCATGCAAAAATCCAATGTATAATGTGTAATGATTGTTGTTGTTGTCAGTACATCCAGGCATCATGGATGGTGTCAGGACGGACGGACGGACGGAAGAATGATTGAATCAACGAACGGTCCATAACACGAATGAATGGTTTAGAGGAAGATAAATCCAAGGAAATAACATTTTTCGACAATCACGTTTACATCCCGACGCACACACACACGCACAGATAATGACCGAGGAGCCGAGACCGACAAATAATAACAGCAGCCATATGAATGGAGACCAATGATGATGATGATGACAAATCATGGTGTCGGATACGTGATGTGAGATTCACACACACCCACAAAATGCAGGAAACGGATATATACAGACGAACATATAGGGCGTTGGGCGGGTATTTAGATGACAGACATGTAATGAAATAAAAGTATTGTTCCAAGAAAAATTAGAAAAGTGTAGAATAATAATATTTCAGAGATTTGTATAAGTAATCTAGAAGAAATTTTATAAAAATGCATTTAAACTATAAAAGAGGTAAGTATGCATCAGTCAAGTAATGTCTATTAATTAAAAAAAATATTTAAATTTAACATGTGTTTCTTTATTTTTGGTCAGAAAGCCTTTATAGACGAGCTAAGTGTCAGATAAGCTTCATAGATGACCTTAAGTTCGGGGAGTCTTTATGGAGAAATATAAAAGTAGGGGCCCTTCTTAGCGAGATGAAAGGTGGGGTAATGTTGTAGACGAACAAAAGGACCTCGAGGTTCATAGATGTCCTGAAGTGCAGATAGTTCTTATCGACGAGCTGATGGAAATAAAGTCTGTACTTACGACCTAAAGGTAAAGTAGTCATTACGAACGGACAGAAGTACTGAAAAGTTTGAGGACAGAGGGTCTCAATAGACATGCTGAAGACAAAGAGGACATGCTGAAGGCTAGTAAGTCGTAATACACGAAATTAAGATTTGAAGTAAGTCCAATAAACGAACTGAAGACCAATAAATCTTAATAGACCGGATTAAGACCAGTAAGTCTTAATTGACGAGTTGAGGGAAAGTGAGTCTTTATGGGCGAACTGGATTGAGTCTTTATAGGTGAGTGAAGGCCAAAGACTACCTGGTAGAGACGAGATGCATGGAGGAATGTCAGTAATGGCACCCATACAATTAGAGGTTCTCAAAATCCAAGCCGAGGGACAAGCCGTGTATACTGAAGAACAATTATGGTTTATAGGCGAGTCGAATCTCAGAAAATCTTTATGAGAGAACTGTAGTGTAGATAATCATTATAGGTGAGTTTAAGGTCAGGTAATCTTAATAGATAAGGTATAGAGTCTTTATAGACGAGTTGAAGGTCGGGGAGCTTTTATAGACGAGCTGAAGAGCAAAGAGACGAGATTCCCGGACCTACTGCTCACCTACCTTCATCCAGAGACGAATCTTCGTCTGGTCTATAGAGGCTCTAAGACCTTCAGTACGTCTATAAAGATTCACTGACATTCCAGTTCGTTCATAAGAAATCCCGGACCAGCAGCTCGGCTATTAGGACTTCACAAATACTCATTTGTTTATAGCTCGTCTTTGCGGACTTTGTGTCCTTCAGCTCGTCTATCAGGACTTCAATTCGTCTATAAAGTCCCCTTGGTACCCCGTTCGTTTATAAGGACCGCCGGCTATCCTTTTCGTGTATAACAAATCTGGGACCATCAGCCCGCTGATAAGAACTCTATAAATACTGTGTCCCTCAGCTCGTCTATCAGAATTTTCTGGGCTTCCAACCCTTCCAACCCTTTATAAGATAAGGACTCCCTGACCATCCGCTCGTCAATAAGGACTCATTTATAAATACTTCGCCGTTCCCAGTTTGTTTATAAGCACTTCTAGATTTTTAGTTCGTCTATATGGACTTGGTGTCCTTCAGCTCGTCTATGGGGGCTTCCTAGTCGTACGCTTGTCCGTGAGGATTTTATGGGGGAACTGGAGAGCCGAGGATCTTTATAGGCGGGTTGAAGATCAGGGACCTCTCATAGACTAGCTGAGGGGCAAAGAGCCCTTGTAGACAATATGAGACTTTTCGAACTGAATGACAGGAAGTCTTTATAGATTTTCAAGCTTTCAGAAGCTGAACTGAACTGAAGTCTAGGCTGTTTTTTTATCGAGGAACTGAGAAGCAGAATGTCGGAAGGGCTTTTATGCGAGCTGAAGGCGAATGATACATTTCAGACGATCTGACGAGGGAGGGTGGATGGTCTCTATAGACTATCAGAATCCCAAAAAATAATAGTAAAAATAAAATCCAGAGTTGATACATAATAAATAATGATGAAGGTGGGATATGTTAACAGACAAGCTGAGGATTGTCTCTTTATGGGCGGATTGAAGATTAGGAGACTTTACATACGTCATGAAGGCCATGAAGACTTGTAAAAGAGCTGAACGTAGTCTTTATAGGCGAACTAAAATGGAATAGATGAAAAGAAAGTATTTATGGACGAGCTAAAGTATTCAATTTCTTTTCTCAGACGAGCTGAAGATGCGACTGCTAAGGATGTGTTGAAGGGGTGTAGAAGTGAGGCAGGAAGTAATTTGAAGACTACAGAGTTTATTTAGACCGACAGAAGTCTAGGCAATATTTGTGTAGGATTTGGATAACATGAGTATAGCCTCTTTATAGTCTATGTTGGCGGAGACCCGAATGGAGGCTTTATAGGCAATCCACAGATCTTCTGGTCATCTTCCATGTCGTTTGTGTACAGCAAATCGGGACGAAATACATTTGAAGACCTCCTGTCGTTCATCTATAGGGTTTCCCTTCCAAGTCTCCCTTTTGCTCGTCTATAGAGACCACATTTGGACATCTATAGATAGCTACTTCCTATCGGTCATCGATAGTGACTCCAGTTCGCTCATCTATAGAAACTCCCTTTCGCCTGTCCACAGAGACTCCATATCGCATATCTATAGAGAATCCCTTCAGGTTGTCTATAAAGACTCCTTTCAGGTATATAAAGATTCCTTTCAGTTATATAAAGATTCCTTTCAGGTAGAGACTCTCTATCGCTCGTCTACAAAGACTCAATTCAGCTCGTCTTTAAAGACTCCCTTCACCTCGTCTATAAAGACTCCCGTTTATAAGGACTATTTTTTGGTAGTCTATAGAGACTCCTTTCGGGTCGTCTGTAAAGACTCCCCTCAGGGCGTCTATAAAAACTCCCTTTCGCTCCTCTACATATACAAATTTTCGATTTTCTTTGGATCCTCCCAGTCCACCTCCTCTATGAATCCCATGTTCTCGGAAGCCTCCTTTAAATCTTGCCCATAAAACATCCATTTACTCAACTATAAGCGAGAATCTCCTCCCATTTGGCTTATCCCAAAAATCCCTCCACATGTATCTGACAATTTCGATATTATATTTCTGTTGCTGACTTTCTTTATTCATTTTTGTTTCTGATAGGTTACAGTACACATGTTAATGTTAAATGTCAGTGTCAGTTATTGTCCATTTTTTGTTGTTGACTGGTTGGTTGGTAGGTGTCACAATTACTGATGTTGTTGTTGTTGTTGTTGATTGTTGGTGGCAACAATGCTGTAGAGAGTCAACAATCATTGGCGTGTGCTGCAGCAGCAGTACGAGTATGTCAGTCTTGTTTGGATTAAAAATGCCTGATACAAGTGTCGTAAATATTTGTTCGGATGTCGACCTTATTTGTTTTTGTACTTCATGATTGTTGTCGTTGCTGATGTTGTTGTCATTTTTTGATCTCTTTACAATATCAACATTACCATCCTGGATACACACGAACAAACAACAACAAACATAGACATGAAGCCTGACACAATTTACTTCAATCTTCTACATTATTTGTCCATCAATGGCTGGCTGGATGGATGGATGGATGGTTGGAGAAGACTAGTTGTAATTTGTTCAAGTATGTCCACAACTGGACGACCACAATTCAAACCCACACAATCAACGTAAATGGTCTTGGAGACATCTTGTCTTGATTGAGGCATACTCCTCGATGTGAGTGAGTGAATGAGTGTCAAATGTCCTTCCCTACCAAATCAAAATGGGGACGGACATCTATTTATTGGTCTTTGAGAAAATATTCTTTGGAAGAAGAAGAAGAAAGTATTAGTTTACTTTGGAAATAAGTATTAATTGAATTTATTAAGCCAATTTAATTTGGGTTTTTGGGTCGCCAAAGGATACTAAAACTTATTGGGAAGTCTTAAACATTGGTAGAAAAAAAATTCTTATTATAAAAAAATCCACGCCTAAGGCTATGACAATTGACATGATCTTTATAGTCTAGAGACTTGCCCGTCTAGAAAATATTCTTTCTAAAAATCCACGCCTATAGGCTATATTTCCTCGCCACGCCTAGTCTCTTGAGAAAATATTCTTTTTGTTAATAAAAATCCACGCCTAAGGCTATGCTAGTCTTTCGAGAAAATATTCTTTAAAAACATTATATGAGGCCATTTCGCCTAAGGCTATGCTAGTCTTTGAGAAAATATTCTTTATAAAAATCCACGCCTAAGGCTATGCTAGTCTTTGAGAAAATATTCTTTATAAAAATCCACGCCTAAGGCTATGCTAGTCTTTGAGAAAATATTCTTTATAAAAATCCACGCCTAAGGCTATGCTAGTCTTTGAGAAAATATTCTTTCTAAAAACCCACGCCTAAGGCTATGCTAGTCTTTGAGAAAATATTCTTTCTAAAAATCCACGCCTAAGGCTATGCTAGTCTTTGAGAAAATATTCTTTCTAAAAATCCACGCCTAAGGCTATGCTAGTCTTTGAGAAAATATTCTTTCTAAAAATCCACGCCTAAGGCTATGCTAGTCTTTGAGAAAATATTCTTTCTAAAAATCCACGCCTAAGGCTATGCTAGTCTTTGAGAAAATATTCTTTCTAAAAATCCACGCCTAAGGCTATGCTA